CAAATTTAATAAAGTTAATAAAGTTAACAAATATTATAAATATGATAAATATAGATCATCAGTCAAATATGACCAATTTGTCATATTTGTCAACTAAATCAGATGATTGCTGCAGTCACAGATCACGGCTTCAATCCTCCTCTTCTAAATTTGAAGCTACTGCCCAAATATTAGTAGTTTCATCAACTAAGAATCGATAAGAATTACTTGATAGTCAGTAAATATCCTTCAACGTCATATTTTGAGTTCGTTGGATTTAATCTACTCCTAAAGCTTTAAATAAATAATATGTCCTAATAGATACAAGACCGTAATACTTAATGAGTAGTCCCCTTAATTGACTTCTTTGTGCGGGTGTAGTTGTTTCAGTTTCAAGTAATTTTTCTAGATAGTAGGCATTTATTAAGGTAAAAATTCGATCCTTAATTCTTGATGACCGAAGTAACATTCGATATGTCATTTGAATTTTCTTTTGCAAATCTAATTCAGCAGAGTATGAAGGGAAAGCAGGTGTTACTTCTAAAGATAAGGTTTCTTTCAAATCGTCAATAATAATTTGTTCTATAATAGATAAAAAAAATAAAATTCTTAAATTGAATTTTGAAATGGAGAGTCCTTATATATTTTTAAAAGATCTCCATTTACTGAAGTTCGAAGTACACGACCATCTAGTTCTTTTATCTTATATGATCCATTTAATAACAATTGATGGATATAGTACGGTCCTTTCCATTTTTGATCTAATTTTCCTGAATGTGTTTTGTCTTTAGCCGCTTCAAAATACAAAACTTTATCTTCTATATTAAGTGTTACAGAGATCTTGGTATTCTTATCATGATATTTCTTTTGTTTTTATTGTGCAAGTTGTATTTGTGTCTTTGCATCTTGTCGCACTAATGTTGAGATATTTCTAAGGGTCTGACATGTATATCTTCTTTAATATTCCATTCATTATTTTCAATATTTTCTTTTTCAGTTTGAGCTAAAAAGACAGCAGGATTGTTTTTCAAAGAATTAGCAAATAATTCCGTTTCATTGAAATCAAAAGTTTCTTCATTTTCATCAGAAGTATTTTCTTCACTATGAAGAAAGAAAATATTCCTTTCGTCAAGATATTCATCTTCATATTGATCATTATTTGTTAAATCTTCAATTACATCAATGAGTTCATCCATTGAAGTATCAGGATCTTCATCTAATTCAAATGATGAATTATCATAGTAAGTAATTGGTACGGATGCAGCTTTAGTAAGATATTTAAATCTTAATTTTTCTTCATCAAAATTGAGAACTGCTTTAATACGTTTGAACCAATCTGTTCTTAGTAATAAGTTTTCATCAGGGGATTCAATTACTTGTAAAGTAATAGGCATTCTAATAGGTCCAATAATGATCTTGACAGTGTTAATTTTTCCTAATGCTCTTGCTCTTTTTCCATTTGCAGTATTAATAATAATTTTTGATGGTTCATCAATTTTTAACTTAAGTTTTTTAACTAAACTACTAGTAATAATACTGATAGCAGCTCCTGAATCAAGAATAGCTTGTATATTCTGATGATTTATTTGTATATTACATCGGACAGCAGTTGTAGGAGTTTCATCATTATTATCATCACTAACATATTTATCATCTATTCCAATATTATTAGTTTCTTTAACAATGACTCTTTTTAACGCGTTAGCTAAATTTCTTCTTTGATCTGGGTACTTTAACCATTAGCCAAGTTTTGCAGAAGAAGGTAAGTTAAGAATATCTTCAGCAACATTATATGAGGCAAGTTGATCAACAGCAGAAG